ATAAAAGTTTTTGACACGAATTCCTAACCTATAAATGCAAGGATATTTTTGCTCAAATGTTAGATTAGTCAATATTTGTAACTGAAGAGGAGCATAATCGTGCAAGTACTTCCACTTGTATTTAAATTATTTTCATAATCCAAACAAAAAATACGTAATTCGAATGCAAATGTGTAGGTACTATAATACGCAAACTTAACCATACTTTGATTTAAATTCGCGTGTTCTTTCGTAAAACGTGATCCTACGAATCACGATCTCGAAATCATGATTGCGAAGTAGCCGAAAGAAAGCGCCTCCTAAGTAAATTAGGGTCGGTCCCAGTCCGTTCCTAACTTATCCCTCTGTCTCTTCATGGAAAAGTGTCTATTGTCTGATTATGAGGTGGATAAAGTAGGCACCCTCACTTTTCCCAAGTGAAGTACCCGCTTAGTTCTGCCGGAAAACGGATTTTTAAAGTGGGGGTGCTAACTTGAAATCAAGTTGGCACCCTCACTTTTCCCGATTGAGATTTTATTAGTTGCGTCAAAAACTATGAATAAATGACCAATTTGTACCCAAATTAGATTTTCATTGTTTAAACGACAATTTATACATTATTTAAACAATTTTAACTAAAAAAGGGCAATTCTCAGAATTAATAAAAAGAAATGGAACGTATAAATTAAAGACTAATTTGTACCTACCCGCAAAATTGGAATTTGTACCCGCTTGGTTCCGCCGGAAAACCTATTCTAAGGTGGGAGGTGCTAACTTGAAATCAAGTTACCACCCTTCAAGTTAGCACCACCACTTTTTCCGATTGAAATTTTATTAGTCGCATCAAAAACTGAACTAAAAACTAATTTGTACCCAAGTTAGATTTTCATTGTTTAAACAATTTGTAAATTATTTAAATAATTTTTTTCTAAAAAAGGACAATTCTCGAAATTAGTAAAAAGAAATGCAACCTATACATTAAGGACTAATTTGTACATTTTTTTGTAAACAAATTGTATTGTTAGGAAGTGATGGGAGGCAGAGCGCATGTTGGGAGGGAATATTGAGGTCGAAAGAATGCACTCTGTTAAATTAGTAACGAACTAACGATCCTCGACATCGTGCAGAATTTTGTATTGCTGTCTGCCTATCTGTCCGTTTGTCTGTCTGTCCATGTGCACAATAACAATAATTGTTTAATACGTTCTTAAAAATATAAGAAAGGTCGCTATTGTTTTTCGGCGACGTGTATGCTATTGGGCCCAAAAGTTATTATAAGAATGATGGATTCGTGAAGATCTGGAGGATCGTCGGACTCACATGGAAAGATCATCGCTACAATTTAATAGTAAAACTGGTGTACAAGTTTAATGGCAAATCAAGTACTCATTGCAAAAATATGAATCGTTAAGGTCACGGTCACTAGAATCAGATAAAAAGAAGTGGGTGGGTGTAACACAACTGTAGAATGATGGCTAACGGGGTAATATAGACTATGGCAGCTATCAATTAGCGAAAACCCGAAGTCTTTAGGTGGCACAGGGGTCGAGATCTTGATGGAACAGACAGACATACAGACGACGGAAAATCAAGCACATAAACTAAAAATTATATTTGTTATGTCTGCTATAAAAGCAAATCGAATTGTGTTTCGAGTCAGTTCTAACATCGATTCGAAGTATTAAGCTTCCTCTCGTGTTATGTTATAAACTGTGAGTGATAAATATAATAAATAATGTATAAATTGTTTAAACAATGAAAATGTAATTTGGGTACAAATTAGTCTTTAATTAATAGTTTTTGATGCGACTAATAAAATTTCAATGGGATAAAGTAAGTAAAGCCCCACTAAGCGGGTACAAATTCTAATTTTGTGGGTACAAATTATAGCCTTTAATTAGTCCTAAATTATAGGCATATTTTTACTTGATTTGGGCAAAGTGGGGATGCAAACTTTATGGACCATTTGTGAAGTGTGGTTGTGGGAATACGTTTGAGTGTGGACCAAGGGGCATTGAGACAATCATAAAATGCGGTAAAATTCGTAAAGATTGTAATGGTCTTAGGGGTCTATCAAGCCGACACTGAAAACGTTGACTTACCCTATACTTACCGTTGCCAACTCTGGGAAAAAAACTACAAGCAGAGCCACCTGCCTTTCAAGTCGAAACGATGGAAGTTTCGCGGCACTTTTGAATTTGGATGGCAGTCTGCTCGATATGGGTGGCACGAATGAACTCCTACGTTGTGTAATCGGTTCTTGTACGTGTTGGGACGTGAAATATAATCGGGAAGGGAATTGAATAAAAGACAGAACTTTTGTGCGTAAGAAATGACAAGAACAAATAAATATATTACGCACACAAGACCATGCCAGGGAAACCTTCTACGGGACAAAGACCCCGGCATAGGCCACACAAATACATGAAATAAATCACCTACAGCAATAAAATGCAAGAGAAAATACACATAAATAAAACATCTCAAATTGTATGATAAAAATCAGATAAATCAAATGCAATTAAACAAGTTCATAAAAGCAAAATACACAAAACATCATAAATGCAGTGGAAAACATGATAAATCAATTCAGTACAAAAACACATAAAAATACCTGTACGATCAATTGAGCTACACAACTCGTAAAATAATAAATTGCTTGTACATAGGAAACATGTAAATGGTCTGGCCTTCAGTTAACATAAATTAATTTAACACGAAAAGTACATGTGAGTATGCCAATAGCAAGTATTCATGTAAAAATCGATTATCGCTCAAGCAGAACATATTTTAAATAGAGGAAATGTTAATGAGAGGGCCCCTAAATATTTCGCATTGCTAAGATGCTAAGAATTGCAATCCGCACGAGACGAGTAGGCGGCAGGTACAGCGAAAAATCGAACTGTATTAGGTACTTCCCCCACGGAATAGTTACGAATCAATCGAACAGAGCAACATCGCACTGATGATCAACTCCTCGTGAATACAGAAATAAATACTTAATAAAACAAATTAATGGCACAATCACCTGTACAGTATAACAAACACGATTCATCTAACGGTACTCAAAAACAAAAGCACGGAGTACGCCATATTTAGATATCGCAGTTTATGCAAAATCAGCAAAATGTAAATAATATCAAATTGTGGCAAGAAATTCAATGATTAATAGTTAGTACAAGAAAGAATAAAATGGTTACTAGTAGAAATCGGGAACGCGTGATGCCTTCCGTCGACCCCGTCGCCATCTTTTTTTTCCGCCACGCTCTTTTTTCCCCTAGCTTCGTTACGAAACTCCCCTAGTATTCGGCATCTGCGCAAAACGGTCGACGGGTTATATACAGAGCATGTCATATTTTTGTTTCAGATGTAAAGGTGTGTTGCCTAACTGTAAGGGTGGATTATTACAAGATGGTGAACTATTTAAAGGGAAAACTTCGGTGGAGCTACATGTTCAGTGCCTCAAAGTTTACACTAAGCGTCCAAAGACCCCTAACTGCACCTGAACAAGTGCAGAAACCAACTCGCTCTTTGAAATCCATATGAAATATAGGTTTAATTCGGTTCCGCACTATTTAGGTAAAATCATTTTTTAAGGGTTCCGGTACCGTGTCCGGTTCTGTGGCTTCAGTAATTTTCGGTTCCGGTTCCAGTTTTTTTTCGGTTTTAACGGTTCCAACATAAATAAATAAAATTATTATTAAAAAATGTAAATTATTAATAATTATTAAAAATAAATAATACACACAATTAAAGTACATTATTCTTTTGCATAAATATATTTTTTAAGTTTGATTGACACTTATATTTTTAGCTTACGCGTTCGTTTCACCTCTGTCAACTGTCTGTCTTTTTCTACTTTCCTTTTCTTCAGCAACAGTTTCAACTATTGCTTTCCTTATACATTCTTCAACCTTTCCTTCTTACTGTTTTTGATCCATTTTATTGGTATTAGGATTGAATAACAATTGTATGAGTCACTCTAAAATATTTTATATTTATTTAGAATTAAAAGGTGAAGTTGTGTAGAAGTTGGTTGGCAGCTCTGAATAAAAGTGACAATTTGAATTTATGGTTTTGAAATAGTCGATAAAGGATCAGTCACGAGTGATAAGGAATGAAAGCGGATATGAAGAAGCAAATCTTAGGAGCAACAATATAACACGCATTTTCCTCTCGCAAACCGCAACGTGTCGACTCTATCTACAAAAGAGACGAAACCGAAAAGTACCGGTTCTTTGGCACTAATAATAACGGTACCGGTATCGGTTCCGGTTATCATAACTTTTTAGCGCATTTTTTAAGAATCAAAAAAAATTTGCTATTGTTTGCGTTTTGTCCGTCCGCCCTTCCGTCCGCCAGTCCGTCCGTCCGGACCCACTTCTACCGTTTTGAACTACTTCTAGGAGAATGGTGTTAGAGTCCTGGAATTTTTTGCAATAGGTAGCCTATACCTTGAAGGTGTGCCAGATGGCCATCAAATTTCGCTGTCTAAAAGGGAGGCCCTCCCCACGAATTATTTCCTGAGATGCTGTTTGTGAAAGTAAAACGTGCAAAACTTTTATATAAGACAACCAATTGGCATCAGATTTTGCATACGCACGCCATTAGTGGTGCCAAGTTAAACTGTGGAAAATGGGGGGCGGGGGGGGGGGGGGGGGGGGGGGGGGGGGGGGGGGGGGGAGAGGGCACATTTCTACTACTACCTCATGTATAATAAATGAAAAGGTTCCATATCGAAAATAAATTGGGTAAGGAACCATCCATTTCTACTTTTTCTTACTAACCAAACTACGGCCCCTTCTGTTCTGTCCCTCTTATCAAAGACGGCGGGGAAAAGGGGGGGGGGAGTGAACTAGTTTTATATCTTTCATGGTACTCTAATGAAAGGTCTCAACGAAAGGAATTAATTTCTACTAACCATAGCCCTCCTCCTCGTCCTCTTATCGTGATCGGGTATATTCCCTTATACCTCAAGAACGGATTTTCGGAAGAGGGTACTCACAAAGGGCGATTGAGACATCTGCAAGAAATATATCCATTGGTGATGTGAAAACAAAAGCTATTTCGGTTTAAAAAAATGCGCTTTATCTGCACAATTTATACTTGTTTTTCATCTTAGCAGTTGTGGACCAATAAACATTCACCTCACAACGCACAGGTAAAGTCATATCAGAATGTAAATGTCCCACATAGATAATGATAACTTATCATTTCGTTTATTATGTAGTCCCATGTAGGTATGAACCGTTTGATTAATATGAAGAATTTTTACTACTTGTGTATCATTTTCTCACTCAGCTTTACTTGGGGTCAAGGTAGAAACGAATATGTGCGTAGAGAAGACTACACACATTTTTTTTAGCAAAAGAAGAGGAAGGAAGCTGCCACTGTTCACTGGTAGGAACTGTATCGAGCGTCGAAAGCGAATCTATTTGTGACGAGAAAACATTACAATGTAAATGTCTGCCAAATGTTACCGGTTTAAATTGTGACGAATGCAGTTGGGGCCATTATGGAATTATTTCGAGCGTAGGGTGCACAAGTTGTTCCTGTAGCGCTCTTGGCTCGTTTGATAGTCATTGTGATGAGGAGACGGGGCAGTGTTCGTGTAAAAAGGGACGTTCTGGGTCTGATATCACTAACTGGAGGTAAACGATGTATTTCTAAAGGTGTTGTTGTAGGCTGACCTGTGACCAGTGCGAACCGCTCAAGTATGAATACGAGGACAGTTGCATTGACTGTAATTGCGATGCTATCGGATCGGAAGACCTTCAATGTGATAGTACTGGGCAGTGTCCTTGTCGCGAAAATGTTGAAGGCACGCAGTGTAATCGATGCAAGGAAAACACGTACAATCTACCTGAGGGTTGCATTCCATGCCCTCTATGCTACGATTTGGTACTAAGCGAGGACCTTCCCTTTAAAGAAAACCTTACCGCAACTGCAAACGTAATCAATGAAATAGCAGAACAATTGCCGTCCCTATTAAAGAAGCATGAGGATTTCATCAAGGAAATTCAGTTGCTGAACGACAAAATAAGCGAGCTGAAACCTAACGAAACAGATTTATCTCTTGAGATCGATTTTTTTGAAATGGAACAACAACTTACAGATTTTGAAAACAACTTGCAGTCCTCCATCAGCAAATTGGAAGACTTACAAGCAGAGAGATACGCAAACTTAATTGCAGAGTTAGAGACGCTTTTAAAAGATTCCAATGCTTTACTACAGTCTGCGCAAACTGAATTGGAGAACGCCACTACGAGATCTGAGGCGATACTAACGCACAATAACACCATGACGGAATTGGCTAAATCTGCCGAGTCCGAACTGGAAAAGATTGAGAAAGCTGCCGATGAACTATCTGGAGCATCCGAAAAGATTTCTGCGCTTGCTGCTGAAACATGTAGCAATGCAGACAAACTTGAAGAGACAGAGAAGAAGCTTGCGGTCGAGTTGGGCGATCTGCTTTCAGAGGTAACCAAAACCTCCGACGGGGTTTTGGCCGCGAAGAAGTACGCGACGGAATTCAATGAGCAAACAAAGCAAACGCACCACGAAGCTCGACTTCTACAGGGAGAAGCGGATGCAGTTGTCGTACCGGAAGGGGACGATTGGCACCAAGACTTTGCCGCCGTGGAATCCAGTACCTCGGCAATTCAGGGAGTGATCAAGGACGTTGGGGAAACTGGAAAAGAACTTGAAGACCAACTAGCATCAATGGGTGCCTACCTGGCAAGCGTAGGCGACCAACAAAGCGCTATGGACGGATTTCTGACGACAGCGCTGGGTTACCAAGCCAGGGCAAACTCCGCTAGAGAAATGAGGGCAAGCTCTTTCGCGCAAGGTTTGGGCTACATGGCTGACTACGAAGGTAGGCGTTAATTAAGCTACACGCACATTAAATCTCATTTAATTGCAGCGTTTCAAAGATTCCAACAGTCAATTAGAGAGCTGATGGAGCGAGTAGCCGGCATTCAGGCGATAATCGATTTCATCAATCAACACGCAACGGAGACAAGGCACATATTCGATGAACTTGTGGAGATCATAAAGGATGTCGAAAACTTAAAATTGAAAATGGACGTCATCTTAAAGGTCGTCGAAGCCAACGACAACTACATATTGAGCAACATTAATTTAATCGAGGAGATCGAGAGAGAAGACCAGGAGATAGTGGCAAAATTGGAAGAGTACGAGGTGCAACTCAAAAGTATTCGATACAATGTGGACGAGCTAAACAAAATTGTAGGTGCCATTAGTTTGTATTTAATTTAAACGGAGGTATTCGCAGGAAGAAGAAACTGATGAAAAAATTAAAGAGGTGGAGTTGTACGTACAATTGTTAGATTTGATTCTCAGTGAGCAAGATGTTATGGAGGAAGAGATAGTGAAACTGGAAAGTATATATGACACGGTTGATGAAATGACGGAACTGAAAGAAACGTTAAAAGAGGAGGTCGCCAATATCAAGGAAATATTAGAAAGTTTACCAATTGATGATAATAGTCTCTGCGAAGCGCCTGAGAGTGAACCAAAACTGGAGTAGGCGCTCCATCAAATATTAACAAAACACGAAACTACATTGTAATAACAAAATTATTTTAATTATATTATTTAATTTTAGTTGAAGTTTTCATAAAAGAGGAGAATCAAGCAACTTTTTGAAGTTTCCTAGTCTATCAAGCCGACACTGAAAACGTTGACTTACCGTTGGCAACTCTGTCAAAAAAATCTACAAGCAAAGCCACCTACTTTTCAAGTCGAAACGAGGGACGTTTCGCGGCACTTTTGAATTTGGGTGGTAGTCGGCTCGATGTGGGTGGCACGAATGAACTCCTACGTTGTGTAATCGGTTCTTATATGTGTTGGGACGCGAGACATAATCGGGAAGGGAATTAAATTAAATAAATATATTACGCACACAACAAGACCATGCCAGGGAAACCTTCTACGGGACAATAACCCCAGCATAGGCCACACAAATACATGACATAAATCATCTACAGCAATAAAATGCAAGAGAAAATACACATAAATAAAACATCTCAAATTGTATGATACAAATCAGATAATCAAATCAAATGCAATTAAACAAGTTCATAAAAACAAAATACACAATACATCATAAATGCAGTGGAAAACATGATAAATCAATTTAGTACAAAAACACAATGTGTCATCAAAATACCTGTACGATCAATTGAGATAACACAACTCGTGAAATTGCATGTACATAGGAAACATGTAAATGGTGTGGCTCTACTCCACGAAAAGTACATCTGATAATGCCAATGGCCAATATTCATGTGAAAGTCGATTATCGCTCAAGCAGAACATATTTTAAATAGTGGAAATGTGAATGAGAGGGCCTCTACTCGCATTGCTAAGATGCTAAGAACTGCAATCCGCACGACACGACATATACAGAGCATATCATATTTTTGTTTCAGATGTAAAGGTGTGTTGCCTAACCATAAGGATGGATTATCACAAGGCGAATTAATATTTTAGAACTTTAGACCCGTTAAGTAATTATTAGATGATTTTTTGGTTTCCTATGTTAGTGTAAAACGAGCATTAAAGCTGCAAGGCAATGCAGGTTTACGCCGGTATCAGTTGATAAGAGACATTTTGCGTGACCTGAGAAATTACAAGAGACAATGGAGGTATGAATTTAGAAATTCCATCTCGCCCTTTTTTTTGTCCGAATACACTGGTTGGAAAAACCGGCGTTTCGCCCATAAAATGGAAGAAACGGTAAGCACATCGAAAAGATTGTTCTCGGCAAAATGCACTGCGCGCTACTTGTCAACCCTGGAATCCTGCAACTGAAAGTATTTAACGTCAACATATTAAGAACAGCATCAGCATCTAACGGCAGGTTCCTCAGGTTCGTGGAGGACAGGGCGTGCGACAACGAGGCACAAGAGCTGCATCTACGAGTTGAACAAGTAACAAATACCGTGAAAAATAGGACTGCATGAGGTACTTACTCTATGGAAGCAGTTAACCGACTCATACATAGAAACATGAGAAACCCCCCCCTCTGGCCGCGCGAGATGAAGGAGCAACATATGCAGCCGAGAATCAAACTGAATGCGGTGTTCTCTCCACGGAATAGTTAAATCGAACCATACAGAGTAACATCGAACTGACAATAAACTTCCTCATGAATACATAAACAAATACTTAATGAAACAGTATAAAGGCATAATCACCTGCACAGTATAACAAACAAACATGATTCAGATATCGGTACTCAAAACAAAACCATTGGTGTATGCAGAGCGTACGCATTTTTGTTTCAGATGTAAAGGTTATAATGGTCCTAGGGGTCTATCAAGCCGACACTGAAAACGTTGACTTACCCTATACTTACCATTGGCAACTCTGGTAAAAACTACGAGCACAGCCACCTACCTTTCAAGTCAAAACGATGGAAGTTTCGCGGCACTTTTGAATTTGGATGGCAGTCGGCTCGATAGGGGTGGCACGAATGAACTCCTACGTTGTGTAATCGGTTCTTGTGTGTGTTGGGACGTGAGACATAATCGGGAAGGGAACTAAATAAAAGACAGAACTTTTGTGCGTAAGAAATAACAAAAACAAATATATTACGCACACAACCAGACCATGCCAGGGAAACCTTCTACGGGACAAAAACCCGGGCATAAGCCACACAAATACATGCAATAAATCACCTACAGCAATAAAATGCAAGAGAAAATACACATAAACAAAACATCTCAAATTGTATGATATAAATCAGATAATCAAATCAAATGCAATTAAACAAGTTCATAAAAACAAAATACACAAGACATCATAAATGCAGTGGAAAACATGATAAATCAATTCAGTACAAAAACACATCAAAATACCTGTACAATCAATTCAGATAATGTGCATAGGAAACATGTAAATGGTGTAGCTCTACTCCAGCCCTCAGTTAACATAAATTAATTTAACACGAAAAGTACATGTGAGAATGTCAATAGCAAGTATTCATGTGAAAATCGATTATCATTCAAGCAGAACATATTTTAAATAGAGGAAATGTTAATGAGAGGGCCCCTAAGTATCTCGCATTCCTAAGATGCTAAGAACTGCAATCCGCACGAAACGAGTAGGCAACAGACAGCGAACGGTCGAACTGTATTAGGTACCTACTCCACGGAGATAGAATGAAACACCAAATAAGAGAGCCCCCCTTCGTATAGCTAATGCACAACTGCAGCGCGCCACGAATCAGAAAGTAACAGATACAGCGAACAATCAAACGCTGTATTAGGTACTTCCCTCACGGAATAGTTACGAATCAATCGGACAGAGCAACATCACACTGATAATTAATCAACTCCTCGTGAATACAGAAATAAATACTTAATTAAACAAAATAATGGCATAATCACCTGTACAGTATAACAAACACGATTCATGTAACGGTACTCAAAACAAAGGCATGGAGTACGCCATGATTGGATATCGACAGTTTATGCAAAATCAGTAAAATGTAAATAATATCATATTGTGACAAGAAATTCAGTGATTAATAGCTAGCACAAGAAAGAATAAAATGGTTACTACCTTCAAAACACCACCACCAAAATAATCAAGAATAAAAAAACCAGGAACGCGTGATGCCCTCCATCGACCTCATCGCCATCTTCTTTCTTCCGCCACGGCGCCACGCTCTTTTTTTCCCTAGCTTCGTTACGAAAATCCCCTAGTATTCGGCGTCTGCGCAAAACGGTCGATTGGTTATATACAGAGTGTTAGAGATTTGTTATATTATTTGTGTTGTGATGTGTTTGTTTATATTGTGCGCATGCATGGACATCAATTTATAGACATTTATCAAGGAAGAAGAATTCATTGAGTTTTGGAAAACAACCGTAAAAGGTTAGTCGCTTTATTTAATAAATTGCCCTCGCGAATACTCGCTTTAAAAATTGTACATAATTTTGGAATTGTCGCTATTGATCTAAAACATATTCGAGCCGGATATGAACCAGCGACCTATGCGCTTATTTCAGATTTTAAAGTGTGTTGCCTAATCATAAGGGTGGATTATCACAAGGCGTATTGCCTAACCACAGGGGTAGGTTACCACAGTACTTTTGGCTATACTGCGTATACATACACTGCTTGGAAAAACCATGCGTAATAAGCTGCAGCTCCGGACACAAAACTAGTAGTTTTATTCAAGTCCTCTCCCGATTGTGCACCACGTCCAAACACAAAAGAACTGACCATAGAATATCATAACGTAAGCAAAGATAATCATTATCTTTGACGTAAGATCATTACTCTTGCCATCCATTCTGTGGCAACCGTTACAGAGATCAAAATACCGGTTATTCTGACGTAAGTGTTAGATGTCGCTGTGTTCAATTTTCCCCAGAGTTGCCAACTTACACAATGGGGTAGTCGGGTCTGTGACCCCTTAGATCCTTACATAAGGATAACTAAACTTTTGGTACTCAGACGTTCCACTTTCCTTTTTTAAATACCATCTCCCGTGACGCCGTCCTCATGATAGAACCAATCTGAATAAGAGGTCGGGGAGGAAGGGTTCACATAACGGATTCCTTTTATCGAGACCTTTCATGAAAAATTGGATCATTTTTACACTCCTTCCTCTGCTTTCCAGTTTCTCCAAGCATCAGTTACAAACTTCCAAGTGCCTAAAAGTTAAAAATTCTCAGAGCCTCTAGAAATCATGTGGTGACTCATAGAGACCCGCTTAAAGGCTCTAATATCCTTTAGAAGACTTTTACTTATAGATCTTCAAGACTTCTGGAAATCCTTAGAAACTGTTGGCGATTCTTGAAGATTTTCAAAGTCCTTTTGATGAACAAGAAACAGGTTTAGAACCGAAACTCGAAAGTGCGGCATGCACTGTAGAACTTAAATGTAGCCGATGCCGTGAGATGCCCCAACCTTAGCAACGTCCTGTGAATATGATTGTCGATACGAAGCACCCTATACATCATGTTAGTTACACAAGCTGCCAACCGAAATCTGGTGGGATTACAGAAAAGGGAAAGAGAGCGAAGATGAGACGGATGGAATTTCTCGGAAAACCACATGTGTTTACCATTTCAAACACCTGCAGTCCAGTTTTTTCCTAGAAATGCGTGAAATGCAGGGAATGGCGATTTTCGGGTGGTTTTTAGGGGTGTTAAGAGATCAAATTACCGCGTCGCTTGGGGAGTCAATAAATACGATTTAACATTGTGTTCATGGTCTTTTTCTTGTAACCGGCTTAAGTGTAAAGTACCTACGGCTTATCTTGAAATATTTTGTTATACCTTAATCATTGCTGTGTGCTTTTGCTTTTTATATCAGGTGAGGTATTCTTTATTCAATTAATCTATAAATATGTGTAACTTGAATGCAGATTGTAACCCTTTACTTATGTACTTACTGGATTCAATCACTTGTACCTCTTAATGTGTAACCTTTGTTGGTATTGGCAATCATGTTTCATTGTCGGTAGGGCTGTATCTGTGCTGTACATACTTGCATGTGTACATATTTAATTTGTGTATTGTGCTTTTTAGTCACTCTCGATTATTTCATTGCATTTCATTATATTTGCTTATTTGGGGCTGTGAGGGGGAGGGGATCGAGTTATTCAAGTTTATACGGGCCTTGGTGAACCTAACACTAACATTTTCACTCGTTCCGAAACCCAACAACTTTAGCCCACGTCTACAAGCACCCCACTGGGCCTGGTAATCCTCCCGCCCGGCGAGGTATATTTAATATCTCTTAGTTTTGTCTGACGTATGGGTTGTAATACCTGGGGAATGGCTCGATTCCATTTTGGTTACTCATAGCATGGATGCAGTATTTACCCCAGTTTCGAGAGGTCTCAAAAGTGCTCTACATTAGATATTAGCTGTATGCATTTGAGATAGTAGCTGTAGGCTTTGTTCATTATAGGACTACTTCGAATTAGGTTTTCCTGCAGTTTCCTGTAGTACACTCGGAGTGGCCCCAGAGTGACAGATTCACACATACAAATAGGCAGCCATGTTAGTTTGGTAAAGGTTTGGTATTCCCGCTACTACAGAATATGGTCCAATATTCCCGCGTGACTTGAAGTTGGCGTTAGACCGCCAAGATAGTAGGGGGCTAAGATCATTAAAGCCGGAACAGAATCATGATTATTTTTTCTAAATAGGTATCCAAATGAGAATGTTTCAATATTGTACAAGACTGCTTAGATGCTTACCCTTCTCTACTTGTAAAAATGAAAAGGACAACTTTGATAGAGTAACGTTTTATTAATATGTATTGTGTACAAAATTACAAAATATGAATGATTACGAAGTAAAAAAAAACAATTATAAGGTAGTGTGTATAAAACTATGAAGAAAAAGAAATCGACATTAAACCTACACGTTGCTAACTTTCTTTGGTATAAAAAATTAAGAAATTGTTTGATAATTATTTTACTTATTCTACGTATAGTCTAATTAATACATCTAGTTTACGGTTCAAGTTGCACACGTTTGAAACACCCGTCCGGCAAAGCGTTCGCTATTTCGCGAATGTTGGCGACCTCACCTCGCAGCCACTCCACCTCCAGGGTGTACGCGTCGACGAGCGCGTTCTGCTCCTTGTGCTCGCGTTGCAAGCGCTCCACCAGAACATCCAGATTCGCCTCTTGCACTTTCCGCTCCGCCCGCACCAATTCGTCCTCCAACCGATTTAATTCGGCATCATCTAATTTCGCCACACCTTGCAGGTTGCGCATTATCTCCTCGATGTCGGCGATTATTTCGTTAACTTTCTTAGTCGCCTCGCTTGAGTCCTTACCCGCCCGACCAATCTGCAAAGACAGTTTGAACACCCACTGCAAAAGTGAGTACTTACCTTATCTTTCGCTTCGTTAATCAAGGTTTCGTTGCTAAGGGTCTGTTGGTATAATTTGTCGAATTCGTTTTCGGTGTTCTCCAAACGGCCGCTCATCAGACCGGCTTCGGTTTTAAACTTGGTCGCGTTTTGGTATAGGGAATCGGCATCGTTGCGGATTTTCTGGGCGGTTTCAGAAGCCTTATTGGCCAACTCGTTCGCGTGGATGGCGGTCGACAGGGCTTGGTCCGCGTTCGACTTGGAGTCGATTAGCGATTTATCCGCGGTACGAGTTTTGTTTTCGGCGACCAGCATTTGTTTTTGTATCTCCGGTATTCTGCCCAAGGCTTGCCGTGCGGCCGCCTGACTTTCCTTGACTTGCTTATCGAAATCTGGAAAACGATTGTTAAATGTGGAAAACCCTCGTCTATACTTACGGCTGACTGTTTCGTAAGTTCCCAACGCTTCGTTTAGGATATCCTTAGCTAGAAGTATGGCGCGTTCAGCTTGAGCCTTGGCCAAATCAATATCGCTTAGCAAGTCGGTGGTGACGTCCATTTGGTCGGTCCCTCGGTTCAGAAGGTCCTCCGCTGTTAGGACTTGTTCGCCGACCTCGTTCAGAAGCGTATCGCTTTTGTCGATAAGATCCATGGTCTCGTTCAGGATTTTCTTCGCCTCGCTATTACTGTCGTCGACCTGCTTCTTTAGGCTGGGTATATCGACGTTCGGTATAATTAGATTGCTAATTTCGTTAAGCAAAATCAGCGCCTTTGTTTTCGCATCCTGCGATTTATTGTAAACGTCCCCCGTCCACTGCTTGAACGTAACCAACTTTGTCTTTGTGTTCTCGATGTCGTTTTTCAACAGTCTGATTTCTTGGGTGACGTTTCGTTGTAAATCCGACGCGTTTTTGGCCAGTTCGTAAGCCTCGATCGATTTGTTTTTCGCTTCGGAGGCGGTCTTAGTTATGGTGTCGGCGTTGTTATCCAAGTCGTCGGACAACTGCCTTGCCTCGTGAGCGATCGTCGTCATTTTGACAGATTGTTGACCGAATTCCTTCGCTCTTTGCTTGGCTTTGTTGAGCGCGTCCTTTCCCTCCGTTTCTAAACTTTCTAACGCGTTTTTCAGCTCGATCTCGGCAAGTTTTATATTTTCTTCGGTGTAAGTTAGATTAATTTGAGTTTGTTCACCTGCAAAAAATATGGACAGTTGAGCATCAATTTAATACGTAAATATTAAGCAATTACAGTATTAACATTGAAATCTATTAGATAAATGGTCGTGCAGTCATCTTCCCTCAACTTTACCCGGCCCTCAACGTCCTTTTGTCCATGGACGTCGGAGAAATGAAACACGCAGACCTATTACTGCATCGTTCTTGTATGTGATAGTAAACGACTTCACCAACCGCATCACCTGGTGCTCCATGTATGTGACAAAGACGGTAAAAGATGTGTAGTGAACTCAAATCAAGTTCATCAGTTTTCCTGACCCCGATTACTCATTGCCAGAGCACCATACCGCATTCCATTCCGAACAACACTACCCTACTCCGATCAAAACCTCCATGCAACCACACCCCCTCGCCCGAAGAGTGGTGGCGGGGGGCCAACGACAAACGATCATAAATCGCGGACATCCAGAGGAATCTCCTACCATTTTGACTGTTCCATTCTGAAAAGATTTGAAGACTTGCGGCATGGTTACATAAATAGTGACATCATAACCAACCCTGAGTTTCGACCGAGCGACTTCTGGAAAAGAAGATATGGTGGTCCTTACGTTACCTAGTACGTCGTTAGTCAACCAAGGCAGAATCAGCACGCGTTCGCTTGGCCGTTACTTAACCAGCCCGCAAGATACCTCACGCGGGCGTGGGGTGGAGTCGCTTCACCTGTCATCACCGATGCTGGGTATCAATCTGGTGGGTCAATATCTCGGTCAATATCTGCTGTAACTCCATCCAGGAGAAGAAAACCATGCGCTGCCAATCTCTTTACATTTGGAATCGAAAAATAACCACAACCAAGCAGTACAAGCTAAGAACTAGAGCTAAGACGACTTCGTTAATCATCTAAACCGGTTTGGAGAGTAAACGGAAGGGAGAAGATGGCATATCGCACAGCAAACTAGTTACCCATATTTACAGGAAATTTATTTAATTTTAATTTTACAAATAGTAAGGGGTACTGTAACGGGAATACCGCAGGTTAAATTTAATTCTTTTTGGGCGGGACACACGTCGTAGTTGGACATTCATTTGAACTATCTCCAAGTCCGTTCCCAACGTTTAGGGTATGCAACCCCGAAAAGTACAAATAACGCATGTCAAAAAATGCAAATTAATTTCATCATCCACATCCAGTTACGCTTTCGAGCAGTAGGAGTCAGGTAAAAAGAAAAGAACTCACCAATGCTTTGTGCCAAAATGATGTTCTCTTCAATTTCTCCGAGAACTCCTTCAATCTTGTTCTGCTGCTTGCGAATGTAGTTCAACTTATCCGTAACCGACTCCGTATCACCTCCAGTACCCAACTTCGTTTCAATCAACAACTGCTCTATCTCCTCTTGTATAGTCCTCAACTGATCTTCAAAATTCTCATCGTCGATTACGGTCGGGTTGCGCTCGATCTTGTCCAAGATGTCCACCAGCCTTTCAATCATGAAGACGTGCCTTCGTGCGTCGTCTTGGACTAGGTTGTAGCAGTCAGGGCAGTCTACGCAGCCTCGTTGCCTGTCGTGCTTGTTTTCCTTGCAGCGATCACAACGGCGGCCCTCCACGTTCTCTTGACAAGGGCACTGGCCGGAGAAGTCGCATTGGAGACTCTTTGCGCCGATTCGATCACAGTCGCACGTCTTGCAACCGTCAATGGAAAATCCATACCGATACGCCTCGCACTGGTCGCAGCGCAATCTAAAATGCAAACGATTAGTTAGAGATCGTGACTGGTTGGAATTACCCAGTGATTCCTTCGCGACAGAAACATTGACCATTGTACAGGTTGCAGGTACGATTTAATGATCCCACCGGATCGCAGTTGCACGGCAGACAGCCTTCTCCGCTAATAATATTGAAGTAACCATCCTCGCATTGATCGCAATTTCTGCCGAATATGTGCGATTTGCACCTGCAATTTCCGGAAATTTGATCACAAATTGACAGTGAATGATGATCTTCTTCAGTGCCTGCCGGATAACACTGGCAAGGCTTACAGTCTCCCTTTGGAAGCGCCAGCGCGTCTCCGTAAAATCCAGGCAAACACTGATCACAGTTTCTTCCACCGGTGTTATGAATGCACTTCAGACATTCCCCAGTGGTCGTGTTGCAATTTCCAATTGCGTTAGTATCGATATTCAAATTACACTCGCACGGCTGGCAAGGGGACGAAATTCCGAAACGCGCCAAAGGATCGCCGAAGTAACCATCCGAGCAGAAGTCGCAACGATGGCCCGTGTAACCGTTGGGACACTCGACGCACATAATTATGTTTTCGTCCAGCTGAATGCAGGCGCCTCCCTTGGGGCATCCGCAGGACTGACAATCGTAAGGGGTGCCTCCGAGCGCGTTTCCGTAGTATCCTCGCGCGCAAAACTCGCAATTGTCGCCGGCCGTGTTATGCTCGCAGATGCAGCGACCCGTTTCCGCCTCGCAAATTTCCGCGTGCTTGTTGCATTCGCAAGGTACGCATGGGCTGAAGGGACCACCGTGAGAAGGAGAGTGTCTGTAACCTGGTGCGCAAGACTCGCAGAAAGCTCCGACGTAGCCTAAACAAGAATTGGGGTTGGAGGCAAATCAAAACCGGACAGTTCCCATAGATTTTTGATAGTCATAGCATCATAGTTAGGATTCGAAACTTATATTGAATTGTTTTTTTTAGTTGTAACCTATAACGTTTGCATCACAAATTAAGTAGACGATATATTACCTGCATTTGACAGTATTTATTGATTTAAAGATATAATTCAGGTAACATATCAATTTTGATTTTGATGTGATATTGGCGGTTTACTTGAGCACAGCTTTCCTAAATTTTCCTGTCATAAATTCACCAAAATTAACTTTTGGATTATGTAATATTTGTAATATTACATTATTTATTTACCACATGATACATAAAAATTTATATACGCAAAGCAAAAAACGGATGCTTTATATAACGAGTTAATAACCGAAGGAGTAATTACAAGTCAACGAGTCGGTAAGCATATATCATCAAATAGTGGCGTACAGTGGAGGTACTATTTTCAACCCTATATATGGTGAAACATTACAAATGATGCAAGCAACATCAACACTTTCAATCCCCTCGCCTCGCATATTTTCTATGATATAGGCAAGTTAAACAGTTAGCGCAAAATACAACAAGACAAAATTTGGCCCCGCTCAAATACAATTGCGATTATGTAAATAATTAAAATACGCTTATGATGCTATGCGATTATCAAACTTCATGGAAGACGAATAATAACTTAACCAATCAATGCAAGTATAGCACAAACCTGCAGGGCATTCGCACTGTTCGATCCACAAGGCCGGAACTCCCGCTCCTCCACGTGTCGCTGTCTCTAACTTAACATCATCCAAATAACCTTCGCCTTGTCCGGTGTATGTGCCTCTAATTCGAATAGCGGTCAAGTTGGTCAAAATCGATATAAACGCTCGTGCCGTCAATCGTGGTTGCCACCCATAGTTGGGGTGTTCGTGCAGTCGGAACCGGTAATGTTGGTTCTACGTGGAGATAAATAAGGTAGTGTGTTATAGCTGATGGCATTAAAGACTCACCGTCATAGCTGGAATAAGATTTCTTTGGGCGAATATGGTATTGCTGATCGAAGTTCCGGCACCTTCGAAGACAATGTCGGTGGCGGTCGGAACCGGTCGGTTTTCACCAATTCTCAACGTGAACTCCAGGAGTTGATTGTAAGACGCCCTTTGATCCCCCAAAAATCGATCGGGTGCAATGAAATACACGGGTTCTTCCCTTGGAGCGACCACTTTGATGTTCTGTCCATGCGGATGGTACGAAAGGTCTACGTTGTGACGGTACTCGTCTTCGGCGCGCCATCTCTCTGCACTTTTGGTGAAGCTGGATTCAAACTGGTACTTGGAGTAACCGGGAGCTGGCACGCACTCAGAAGAGTGTCCGTAACAAAAGCAGGGGGTGCACCCAAACTCGTTCTCCTTGTCCAGATTGAAAAAGCCGGGTTTACACTCGCGACAGCGTTTACCTTCGACATTTTCCTTACATTGGCACGTACCAGTATACGGATCGCAGTTGGGCACATTGTTGGCGGAACCCTCCTCCGAGCAACCGCACCCCTTGCAACCGTGCGTGCCAAAATCGTAATGGTTCACGTCACATCTATCGCACTTATCACCGGTAACACCAGGCTTGCACTGACATTTTCCTTCAGAATTGCACTGGAGACTTCGCGAACCTACCGAATCGCAATTGCAGGCGACGCAATGGTGGTCTTCTCTTTGGTAATAGTTTTCTCTGCATCGCTCGCAGTTTGGACCGTCTCGATTTACGGCACAATCTAGGCAATGACCACCGTGTCCGGTCCTTTCGTACAGATCCTTATCGAAGTAACAACGGGTGGAGAATCCATTGCAGTTACACGCTGAAAAAAAGCAAATTTAAGGTTCAAGATTCAGTGCACAAGGTACAAAATTTAATGCAACCATTAAAACATTCAATACGTAAGGTTCCAGCTAAAAGGTTTATGCCACAAGGTTCAGAATTAAGCAGTACCTACATATATACGTGTAGACTTACAGACCCGAAAAACGATAGAGTGGCCCTCAAGATCCAAACCAAAGTCAAAACTGAATTTTACCTCGGGGGAGTATTCGCCATTGTTTTGATATCAGTTTTTCGGTTTTGATTTTGACCCATTCTTAGACGCTCAATCGTAAAACCTTAATCAAGAAATCTTGAACTGTTAAATCTTGATTTTAGAGCTTCCAACTTAATTTTTTTAATTTGACACCCGAAGCGGCACTACTTTTCCTATGATCCGCTACCCGTAAACACTCATCGCGCCTAATTGGGCAAGCATGCTTAATTAATGACATTTTAATGAGTTGTAGAAAAACCGACAGACGGTGTTCAAAGTTATCTCAAACTGACCGCGCGTAAAAAACGAAAACCCGACGTCCATCTTATATTTTTCCGATAATTGCAGACCGATTAATTAATTAAAAACCGAATTAATTTGCATCGCTTTCGGAGCAAATAGAGCGACGAGCTGGAATTTCCTTGTTCCACTTCCTCCAAATTGGGTTATTTTTATAAGGTAAACGCTCAATTTTGGAAGTATCTTTTTGCCGTAAGTAAATCGATTATCCTTTGACTTTTTACCGTCACTAGCAAGTTCTGTAAGTATCGCCATTTTCCGTAAGATCTTTTGCCTTCTTTAGCGTCACAAGTTTTGTTGTTTTTCGCAAGGTAAGCTTTTATTTTCGAAGAAAGGAGGGGATTTTCCGTACGTTTTCCCGTAATTGTTTTCCGTAGAAGCCACTACTTTGACTGTGCTTAAATTGTTTTCCGTCCGCTAGGAAAATTGCCGGTTGGGCTTTAATTTTGTTTTAGTTACTGAAGTGACCACCGCCATTTGCTGGTTCCGACCGCCGGATTCCTGGAGCTACCGTTTCTTCGACTGAGAGTACCCCAGAAGCTACCAAGACAGACCCGCAGACCGTTGCTACCGTCGAACTCGACCAGGCGCGAGATTTTCGCCTGGTAGCGCTCGAGTCCGTCCGTCCGCGCGTTTCCCGCCACCGTTTCGCCGTCTCCCGCCGACAACTGGTTGCTGCCGACTATCACCGTGGATATTACTTGCATATCATTTGTATATTTATTGATTCGTTTACATTAGAAACTAATAATTTTTTTATTTCGAAATCTCGCCAACTGTGCGCGACCTGTCGATGTTTAATCGCACTAACTCGGCGATTGAAAAAGAAGGCATGGGGTTATCGTATGTGTATGAGAATCCAAAACATTCAAAAGCGTCTACGCAATACGACACCAAAGTGAAAAAGGAAAAACTAATCGAAATGGGCGCAAAATGGGCCCTTACAGGTGAAAGTCTTTGAACTTTTTGTTACTAAACGATTACTTTAAAGACCACCTTTGTTATGTATGCTTACCATCCCGACAGTACAGTCGAAAGTGCGTTAAATCAGAATCGATACGAAAAAGGCAATTTTTTGGAAAATTTTTATCAAAAATTCACTAAAATCGACATTAAACTACGAGATTAAGATGAGTGCAAACATCAGGCGGAAGTTTGAAGTCTTCTAAGTGACCCTTTTGCGGTTTCGAACATTGACATTGACTCAAAACATCAATCGCGATTATGTGCAGATCTGGAGACAAGTTGAATCGAAATTTTCGGAAAATCACTTTGTATAGGCAATATTTCCAAAAAACAAAAATACCACTTAAAAAAAGTTGCAATTTATCACAAAGAAGACGTTACAAAAGGTTTCGTCGAAATTCAAAAAAAAATACAAATTGTACGAAAACATTCGAATCGATAAAATATCCACGCCAAAGTGAAAATGGAAAAACTAATTGAAATGGGCGCAAAATGGGCACTTACTGGTGAAATTCTTTGAACTTTTTGGTACTAAACGATTAATTTAGAGACCACCTTTGTTATATATGCTTACCATCCCGACAGTACAGTCGCAAGTGCGTTAAATAAGAATCGATACAAAAAAGGCAATTTTTTGGAAAATTTTTATCAAAAACGTACTAATTCTGTTTTTTTTTTGCTAAAACTACGAGATTAAGTGAGTGCAAAAGATTGGTTGCGATTTGAGGCCTCCAAGTGATCATTTTGGAGTCTCAATCATTGACATTCACTCAAAATCGCATTAATTTTTAAATGATCGCAATCTTCAGTATGACGCATAATTAATCGCGATTATGTGCAAGACCTTAGCATGTGTGATCATTTCTTTGGAAAAACCATCGGAGCTCCTGATCACCACATTGTTGATTCTGTACGTTTTGAAACGAGATCGCACCACCGGGGGGGTCTGAGGGTATTCCAATACCCCCCAGGGAAAGGAACTTTAATAGTTCCCCGGTGATCATCCCCGCCCAAATAGTGGCGGTCCTTAATACTTGTTGTTATTCTCGAGGAAGAGCCATCAATGTTTCTTTTGCCTGGGGGGTATGGAGATATTCAGACTCCTAAGTGTGTGTGATCATTTTTAGGAGAAACCATCGAAGCTCCTTTTCTTGGGGGATTTTGATATGGAACGCTCCCCTGAACATGATCAGCACAAACATTGATGGTTCTGTACGCCTTGAATGCAGCACATTCCACCAGGGGGTTCTGGGGGTATGTAATACTCTCCAGGGAAATGAGCTTTGATAGTTCCCCGGTGATCATCTCCACCCAAACAGTGACGGTCCTCAATACTTTCTTCTCAAGGAAGAGCCATCCATATTTCTTTTGCGTGGGGGGGTTTCCATATCCCTCAGACTCCCCGGTGATGTACTCACTCCTCCAGTTATTCAGAGTCCTTAGTATGTGTGATCATTTCTTTGGAAAAACCATCGAAGCTCCTGATCATTGTTGTTTCTGTACGTTTTGAAACGAGATCGCCACACCGGGGGTTCTGGGAGGTACGGAATACCCCTCAGGGAAAGGAACTTTGATAGTTCCCCGGTGATCATCCCCATCTAAACAGAGACGGTCCTCAATACTTGTCCGTTATTCTCAAGGACGACCCATTCATGTCTCTTTTACCTGGGGGGTATTCCATACCCCCCCGGTGATGTATACACACTTCCAGTTATTCAAGGATCTTAGTATGTGTGATCATTTCTTAGGAAAAACAATCGAAGCTCCTGATCACCACAAACATTTTTGTTTCTGTACGTTTTGAAACGAGATCGCATCACCGGGGGGTCTGGGGAGTATAGAATACCCACAGGGAAAGAAACTTTAATAGTTCCCCGGTGATCATCCCCACCTAAACAGTGACGGTCCTCAATACTTGTCCGTTATTCTCGAGGACGAGCCATTCATGATTCTTTTGCCTGGGGGGTATTCCATACCCCCCAGAGGTGTATACACTCTTCCAGTTATTCAGAGACCTTAGTATGTGTGATCAATTCTTAGGAAAAACCATCGAAGATCCTGATCACCACAAACATTCTTGTTTCTGTACGTTTTGAAACGAGATCGCACCACCGGAGGGTCTGGGGGCCCTCAATATTTGTCATTATTCTCGAGGAAGTGCCATCGAAGTTTGTTTTACCTGAGGGTGTGGGCAGACTCTTCAGTGATGTATACTCCCGTCTAGATATTAACAATACTCAGTACTTGTTATCATTTTTTAGGAAATCCATAGAAGCTCCATTTCCTGGGCGACTTTCCTATGGAATGCTCCCCTGATCACCATAAAGATTGAATGACTGAAGACTATCAATAGGTATATCGGTGCTTTTTTGAGCCGTATCAAATGTCGTTTTCTTTTTTTTTGACATTAAAAAAAAACCAATTATTATAGGTCTCAAATTTTAACCAGCTTCACCGTCACGCCAATTACCTACTACAAACCAAATAAAATCGAGTTGGAAATAAGTCCAACTACCAACCCTTAATCGAAACAAAAAGTAAGAAATTGCTATATTCCGAGCGCATATAAGGAGTTGTTTGTTTTGGTACAATTTCTCGTCTATTGCACCACAAGATCTCCTTGTTTATAACATGTAGGTAACAAAGAACAAAAAAGTTCACTAGAAATGACTCACGGCATGTTCATTCCGTAAGGTAATTTAAGATAATCGACCGTCGCGCGGGTAACCTGAGCTATAAAAGGGCAGAAATTGGCGTGCAACTGTTCTACTGCCTTTTTTGAATTTATTCAGACCAGAAGTGAATGTTAAACTTTTCCAATTAAAATTCTCAATTAGTGCCTTATTTTTTATTTTATCGTGGCGGCCAATTGAATCGGACATTTTTCGTACAGATTATGGTTCTTTAATTTATTCCCGTCGGGTCCATTTTGTTTTTATTGACAATCAATCATTTTGATATACTGTTTTAAATTATCTTCCAGTTTTATTTACGTAAGTTGCCTGTAATTACGTATTTTAGTGTAGCCTCGCCAGGAATTACAGTGTGTACAGCTAATGGAACCGGTTATTAAATGATCGTCGAGAATAGAAAAATGTGTCGAGTTATGCTGAAAGCTTTAGCGAGATATTCAAAATATTGGCATCAATAATCGTTTCTTGTCATCTTGATTGGTTACTGGTGTTTGTTGGTTGAGTGTGAGAAATTACGACACGCTGCGGCGGCGTTTGTGGAATTATAATTTTCGCTTTCAAGATTCAAGTCTGATCACAAAGTTTCAACCAATGTGTTGCTGATATTTTGCTAAAATTTTGATAATCACCGAGTTCGCGCATGCGTACGATCAACTTTCTTATTTGTGCACCGATTTTCATAAAAATTCTACTTGTCTATGCTAGATTTTATTGCATTAATAAATACTGGTGTAGCTAATGTCTAGAATTATCCGCATAAAGTACTGTTACCAGAATTTATCATTTTCGTTAAGATTACCTAACGGCGATTTCGATTAGACCTCGGGTTCTTTAAACTTCAACATGTTAACTAGTAGTTTCATAGCAATTGGCTCATTCGAAGATTCTATTCCTGTCACTCACTGATTTTAAATTAATCCCGAATGGATTGCGTGCACGTTTCAAAAACTGGTCCGAGCTTTTGGCAGTCGCTTTTTTGCGATAATTGATGGAACAAATTGCGTTAAACACTGTATGCTCAAGATAATTGATCTTGCGGTGCTGATTGACACGCCCGTGACAAGGTATTGTTTTCGGAGCATGGGAAAGGGGCTTTATTATATAAAGTTCAGTTTATCTCGCATTGTTCTGCATTCTCGAGTCTAAGATATTGCCACGTTAATGATGTCGCTTTTTGGAGCACATACCTTATATGACCCTTGCGGACCTTTGTAGACCTTAAATAGAAGTCATGTTCGGGTTACTTAAATGAAACGTACAATTAATTTTAAATCTCTTCCGTGGGGTTGCTGCTCATTACGTTGGCGCAGTGTTTTATGAGCATTCACAGCACGTATTAATTTGTTTGCCGTTAATAATTCATTTCTTAGTTATACGGCCTTCTTTTATAAATCACGTTACCTTTATCTTAATCGTGCTATCGCTACGGTAAATAAATACGTTCGTAAAGATAATGAAATACCTAATGCAATGGGCGGAATCCGCACGCTCCCACGACCCTTTTAAAGCCCACGCTTTTAATATTATTTAATAATGCAGAAAGTAATCGCTTGTTAAGTGTTTTTACCCTTTCGTTTTACGGTTTTTTCTCTCTCTCAAGAACCCTCTGATCTTCAGTATCTTTTGTTTGAGGTTTGAGGTCTCATCACTAGAGCGGAGGATGAACTTACTGTTACCGTATTGCGAAACAATTAACAGTGAAGGACCTAAGATTATTTTTATATATATTTATATTTATTTTATTTATTTTATTTATTTTATTTATTTTATTTATTTTATTTATTTTATTTATTTTATTTATTTTATTTATTTTATTTATTTTATTTATTATCCCTCTTGTTCTGTCATATGCCAAACGATGTCGTGGATTTTGTGGATTGATGGGGTTAAGGAGGGGGGGGGGGATGTTGTCCGACCCGAAAGGGTACGACCACAGCTTCCCGTTGATAGTCTCCCCCTTCGTTCCATTAGTTCCCGATGCTTTCAACCATTGATCTCAATTCCTTCTTTCTTATTGTTATCCTCTCCTTGCCTCCCTTTCTGTCTCCTCCTCCTCTTGGCTGCTTGTACTTCTGTCTGATTCTTCTTCCACCTCCAGTACTCGCCTGCTTTCTTTCTTCATTTTGTGTTTGTATTTTCTCCACTCTTCCTATCTCTCTATGGGAATCCCCGAGGTCGACACCATTTGGTTCGTTCGTAGACCTGCCATCTCCAGGTATACCTGGCTGGTTTGGACGAACGAAGTCTTCGAGATCTTCTTTCTTGTCCGCGGTTACGAGTAGGTCGTCCACCTCGGTAGTTGTAACTGGCCATCCGTGTTGAAGTTCATCACCACCCTCCTTTTTTGGTCTACGGTGTTGTCCAATGCTATCTCGAAGAGCCTTGGGGATAGCGGACATCCTCGTTTGATTCCTCTGGTTTTCATTTGGTGCTCGGTCTTCTTCCCAAACCATTGTATACTAATATACTCCCGTTTATAATTCTATTGGTTAGAAATTTGGGCAGTACCAGCAGCGTCAGAAATGTGGCTATTGCTTCATGCTTCACTTAGTGGAAGGGCTTCGCCAGGTCTATTGCTAGAAGCCATATTTTGGTTCCTGCCCTCCAGTGTTCGTCTAGAATCCTCCTGGTCGTGAATATATGGTCGTCCGTTGATCTGTGGTTGGCCATGGCTTGCTTCCTGGTCGGTGACATGGGCAGTTTATGCCCCCCTCCCCGGTGTTTTTCTATACTCCTTTCTTTTCTGCCCCCCTGTCAGAAGTCTCACATCCCACCATTCAGTTCTCCCTGTCCTTTCCCTCCCCCCTTACTAATTTGCGGTCTTATCCTACTGTACTGGCCCATATTCCTACAGTGTTCATGATGCTTATTTTCTTTGACTTGGTTCTTACTATGTGGACGATCTGTGATTGAGAGTTCCTTCTCCCCCATGTTGTCAGGACCGTTTTGGGTTTGCTGAATGTGTTTTCCACTCTCAGTCCATGTAGATGTAGTATGTTCCTAATCTCGCTACCATTCACGTTGTCTTGCTCGTGCTTGAGTATTTTGCCTACCCTACGTTCCTCCCGCTTTTTTGATGCGAATCCCAAAGTTGGACGACTCTGGGGATAGTTTTAGACGTTGTGTGATTAAGGGAAACTGTATTTTTTATTTGTATTCAGTACAGGCCGTTTTACTTTGGGGAATTTTGACGTTTCAACAATTATAAAAATATTCTTTAAATACTCGGTCTATACGTTTTTTAACATGTTTGAAACTTTTAAAGAGAATTGTTTACTGTAATCAATATTCGTGCATAAACTCAAAAGAAGGCAATAGAATCTTCCATATAATTCAATATTAAGTAGTGAAAATCTTCTAATTGAGTTGGAAAAATTTTGATCTTGAGGAAATTTGGTGTCTTTTCTGCATACGACCTTTCAAAAACAAAAACGTCAATGGAGTCTATAATGCACAAAAGTAGCAAAGAAATTCTGAACTACGTCAAACTCAGAGAATTAGTTGCACTTTTGTGGGACTTTCCCGCAATGCAATTATCAGAAAAAGCTAAACTAAAAGAGACAATCCAGCAACTGCAGTGAAATCACTCAATTTTTTGTTGGCGCTATTGTTGCAACAAAGAGCGGCGATAAATTGAGAACCTTGCAGTAAATTATAGATAATTCGATGCATTGTGGCAAATGAGAGATGTTGGGAGCGGTAAACGTATAAATGGACACCGTCTCAATACAGAGCAACCATCAATCATGAAAACTGTCTTGGTGCTAGTTCTGTGCGTTTTTGCGTGGTCATGTTGTGAGGTAAGTTAGTCTCTCCTAAATTGATAAATAAGTATTTGTCCCGAACAGAAACCTGGACCAGAAGGTCCGCCACCAACCGAACACCCAAAACACCACGGACGCCATCACAAACTGGAGAAGGAATGTCAAGAAAAAGGAAACCTAACAGACGCAGACATGAAAACCATACGAAAGGTTTGGCATACGGGACAAGCTCCAACCGAACCCAGCGACGCGATCAAGTGCTACTTTAAATGCGTGTTGGTGCACGAGAAGAAATTAACGGAGGATGGGGCGGCGAGTTTGAAGGGCATGCAGCAGAACTACACGAAGGCCGTCGAGAAGCTTGGCGAATGCAACCAAATTAAGAATAACGACCGTCCGTGTGATGCGGCCCTTTCGCTTGCAACTTGTCTCTCTGAGGTGAAGCATTTGGTCAGGGGATTCTAAACCAGGTTTGTGTATCAAAAACCACGAAATAAATGATTTGCATTTTAATCAATCTCTTCCAATCGTCGTTTTTAACGTCCAAATCCAAATAACCCTTTTTTTGGATATTGGTCCTTAAGTTCCCGATTCCAAGATCCAGGCTATAATTCGAAGTCCGGAGTTCAGAGTATGGAATCCGGGCAAAGTTTATTAGGATATTGAACTCTAGAGCGATTTTGGTTTCTGGTTCTCTTGAATTATGAAGCATAGATTTAAGATTCTTGAATGGATAAAAAAAACAATGGATCCGGTATTCAGGATTCCACTAGAATACAGGTTCCAAAATCCAGAAATTTCAGAATTCTGTATCTAACGTACAAGATCTCACAGTCAGGATTCATGAAATTCAATATCCAAACTTTAGGACTTTTAATCGAGTCTTCAAGATCCAATCTCCGAAACCCAGAACTACAAGCTCAAGATCTGATCTGATAATTTAGTGCTAACAGTAAGCATGTTCCAGAATCCAAGATCCAGGATGTAGAATTTACAATCTGGGATCAGATGGAACCAAAATCCAAACCGCAGTATCTAAGATCTATAATTCAAAATGTACCGTTCTCAATTAAGAATTTGGATTCCGAAATATAGACTAGAATACAGTATGGAGTCCAAAATACAGTTCGGACGAATCCAGATATAGGCTCTGTATCTAGGATACAAGGCGTATAATATCCAAGTTCCAGGAACCTAGTGTTCTGAATCATGGAATCCTGGACTCAAGATCTTAGATTTTGGGTTCTAGACTTCAGAAATTCCAATACTCCACCGATATGAAACGCCGTCAGTTTGTGGATTGAACGTGGTTGTGCAGAGTTCATTGAAATTGATTTCCATCGATCTATCGGAAGGCTGTTGGTTGCTGCTCTTCCGGGTCGACGGCATTTCATAACCAAATCGATTGGTCAAGTCAAGCTCGCGGTTGCGAAGCTTTCTGGTTTTCTAAAGATGATCTCGCCACACATCTTCCTCGATTCAAGACCTTTCAGTAGTTGTTCGACCAACATGGGATTAAAATTACTGAACTCTCAGCCGCAAGGTGAAGCTAGCGATCGATTCTCCTGCCATCTGGTGAATGTCGCGGAATTTTATGCATTCTGCGTATCTGTTGCGAGTGGCGTCAAAATGACTGGTCAATCTTGATTGGATCTCGCTGTGCGAGGCGTCGTTTAATTCAGTACCTTATTCAAGCCAAGTTACCAAGTAAATCGCGTGAAATACTCGTCGATAGTGGTTCACTCGGCAGCACGATACGGTGGCATCGAGAACTATGGTGGCCTGGGTTGATGAGATAATGTTCCTTTATTTATAGTAGGAAGTTGCCCTGTAGAATCACTGAGAGCGACAGCAATCATCCCTCACAGTATTTGAAGAAGTTATGTTGATAGCTCTTGTGCCATGTTGATTTTTGTTGTGCACTACATTAACTACCGATAACGGTTTATTTAATATATCCCACTTCTGACACCACTATTACGTTTGTGTATCTATATAGAAATAATACAAGTTCGAACTAAGACCGCTTTTACACGCCCGTAGACTGGTATCTCGGATACCTGTAACTTTGCGTTTTATGGAGGCCTTCACATACAGTATCGGCGACTTTTTCATTAGCCCACCACTACACTGAAAATATTTCGCCGAAAAAATACCTCACTGCCCAAGACCTAAAGTCTGCGAAGTGTATTGGACACGAAATCTGACGACAGACTGTATCTGGGATACACGATCGCTCTTACTAAATTTTATGCGACTTTTTAATTATGATAACTCGAATATTTTTCGTGGCCCAGGAAATCTCTCCATAGAGCCTGTCATTGTTTTGTTAGATCTACAAACCTTTGAACGCGTGCGACAATACCACAGATAAAATACCCAATTTTATCAGTGACAATGACAATACATACCAAAAAGTATGATCTAAATCGGAAAATGTTACATTAGTTACATTGTGTACGATGAATGCACCTACTGAAAATGGAGCTGTTACCCTTGCTGTTATCTATAATTCTACCTATACTTTTGCAGGAGACGCATAGATATTTCCAAAAAGGTTTCAAAAGAAATTTGTTTGTCGGAAAACGATGTACCTATCCATTTTCATGTGAGAAATTGCTCCATACGATCCTCTTGGATCTTATTACATTGTTTCTTTCTACATTTGTGTTTAGGTACAATAAATTGTTCTTTTTGGACGTTTGTGTGAATAATGTACTTGATGGCCTACGCATCTACTTTTCCGTCCATTTCCCACGTAGCATTGGATATCTTATGCATATACCTTTTAAATCCAAAATGTAAGAGAATATTCTGTGCATCTTATGTATATACCCTATACATTCATTATGGACATATGTATTTTATGTCCAGTATGGATATTCTACAAATATACATTTGGGATGTGATGTGGATATTTAGATACACAATGTATAAATTATATTCATCTTAAATATGAAATGTACCAGTAGTATGACGCACATTGTACTTATGTATCTTTTATGTATTTTAAAAGTAGGTACACCTGATTAGTGATTATATATCTTATATCTCCTCCAGATGATATTCTATGTATATACATGGGATTATAAGGTATGTATATACCGAGGTATATACGTTCTGGATATAGACCAATTAATTGGTCTATGGTTTTGGATTAGATACATGCGTTTTCTGTATTACCGACGTTACAATTAATAGTTAGCGTAGCGTCTCATTTTCTGTGAATTACGGCGATGAAGATAGCACGGTCCTATTGCAAATGCAGTTCATTTTTGTTGCAAATATGTGTTACGGAGACGTAAAGACTGGGTGGGAATTATTTAGGGCAAGAATGGCGTGTATGTTAGCAACCTAATTCATAATCTGTTACTAACTCACCCTATTATAGTGCTGAACAATAACACGATCAAGATGACTCAATAGTACAGTGAGTGAATAAAACAATAAAAATTTGTTAAGCTGATAGATGATTCAGTTAGTCGTTAAAAAATTAATGAAAGATTATTCTTGTTACAAACTCGTTGTTTATGAATAGCATGTGTTTCATTGCCAATAACATTTAAACACATTGTGAAAATCGGTGGAAACACATGTTTATTATTTCCATTATATTCTAGGAGACTTAATAAACAGAAAACTTTACTCAATGAAAAGAATTTATTTATGTCTGTCTAAATGCTAGGAAGCTTCCCGAATATTAGAGGCATCTCTATAGATAGAACATCCATTCTGAATGTATACCACATATGGAATACCCCTGGGAATACCCTAGTGATCATCTTTGCATATTATAGGAATATTCATGGTATGTCCATTTGTCAGTTTACCAATATACATAGCATGTCTGATGCATCTACTTGAATATACATAATACGTCCAACACGTATACAGGGTGTAGCATCTAAGACCCCTCGGAACATAATTACTTTACCATAAAAGATACCGAAAAAGTCTTAGAGCAAAGTTGTTCGCAATTACCGCCGGCATGTTTCTAAAATATTTTTGATCACCAGGGGCGTGCTGTATTCCAGTATTTGAATGCATTTTTGAATTCTACGTGTAATTGTACGTCTTTTTTATTATATGGTTAATATCCGAAAAGCTAGTAGTTTTAAAGATAATTCGATTTTTAAGAAAAATTGGGCTACTATAAAACATTAAAAAAATAGCTTACAGGGTGTTTTTTTTAGATGCAAAGTTACAAAACTTCATATTAAAATTTTTTTTTAATGGAACACCCTGTATATTTTTCTGTCATCTTTTAGCTCCTTCAAAAACCTTCAACTTTTGATAATAATGTCCTATACCTATCTCTGATAGTTTTCGAAATATATATCTTGGTTTTCCTGGTTTTTATATTCTAATCTTAAATAAGTTATATGTAATTTACATAATAGTGAGGTGGCCATGCAAAAAAAGGCAATTTTTATCTATCTCGTCCCAAACGAAAATCAGATCGATTAATTTATTTTTCAAACAATTTATTTTAAGTCCAAAAACTGGAGAATAAGTAAATACATTTGACTACAAAGCAAATTTAATTTAATTCCTAATGTCATCCAGTCAGTGATATTAGTTTCATTTTTGTTCATATTCACCTCGTTATTATGTAAATTAGAACTTATTTCAGATTAAAATATAAAAGTAGAAAAACCAAGTTATTTGTTTATGTTTTTACTATCAAATTTATTCTCCAGTTGTTATAGACTTAAATGAATTATTAGAAAAATGAATTAATAAATATGATTTTAGCTTGGAACGAGGCAGATAAAAAAAACCTGAAGGGTTTTTCACTTGGCTTCGGCCAGTTAATAATTAAAAAAACAACATGTTCGTCTTATTCGTCTTCAACGTTTGTAATTTACCGTTTTCCTGTTAACTTTCACAGTAAGTACTAGCTCTTAATGTTTTCAAATTTGCTATATTGTGATACACTTCTAGTCGCCTGATGATGGCAGTACGCCGAAACTATAGTCGCTGTTATTTTTAAAAAACTTCAACGAATAAAACTATATGGGGAAGGTTTGGAGATTTTTTGATAATATAATACATTTCAACCCCCATTTCGAGGAACGATGGATCCAACTCAAAAAAAAAAAAAAAAAGGTAACTTTGTTATTATTAAAGATAGAGAATTGGTTAAATGGGCAATGTTTTGCAGTTTTGGATGCTTATTTAAAATTTCCTTATGGAAATTCAAAATGTCGCATAGGTTCGACGTAAATTCAAAAAAACTAAAATTGGTCATTTCCTTGAATGTCTTATATCATCGAAAGTATAAGAGATATAAAAAAAAGTTTTATATAAAAGTGACTGTCTTTGATACGCTTAATTTAGAATTGATGTCAAAAAAAAATTCAAGATGGCCATTTTTGAGGAACATTTACCAACTTCCTAAAGTTAAATGGGCGCCATATTGGATTTTTAGATTAATTGATAGATTTTTAAATTCTCGTTTCAACGAGCTATTATAACATAAGATTGAAAATAAGATACCAGTTATATTAACGGTTT